CACAGTCCTGAGGGGATCAAGAGGTAGATGAGGGCCCAGCCTGCACAGACCGCAGGAGGCCGCGGCAGATGTTTGATATCCCGGGCTGCCGCAGACGGGATCCCCACAAAGCTTTTGTTCCTGGGACAGAAGCAGGCAGAGCGATGGTTTCCTCCCGTTTTCCCAAAGGAGGAGCCAGGTCCCAAGTGCCAGTCAGCTAAAAACACCCCAAGGGCAGACGCCGCAGACACCACCGTCACGGCACCCAAGCAGCCAGCACCACGATCCCCGCAAAAGGACAACCCTTTCCTGCAGACAACACCAAGACGTATCTTCCTTTTCCGCAATGAGAACACGCGCTGCAGGTCAGATCTCAAGCTCCCTGCCGAGGGCCTTGGCTCGGAAGGCTCTGGGAATTCCGAATGCTCCGGGGACACCAACTGTCGCAATGTGGCAAAGGCCGGGGCAGAGCAAGTCCCGCCGCGCAGGGAGGACCCGGGGCTGCCCTGGGGTTCAGGTCAGCAGGGACCCAGTAAGAGCCCTCAACGCTCCCTCTCCACAAAAAGCAGCAATTCCGTCCTGCAAGCACCTTGGGAGGTGAACACCGGTGAACATCTCCCTGCCCCAGCGATGGAGACTGAACCTTCCTGCTGGATGTTTTTTAGTGGATTGAGATGAAGCGGGGCCAAGAGGTCTAAGCAGCGTAACAGTCAGGTGAAAGCTGACCGATTAAAAGCCACTTTTCCCATCTCCTCCTACTCTCACATCAGCGATATAGGTGGGGGAGTGGGCAGAAATGTAGTTAAGGCTACAGCCCTTCCAGCCATGGGTCACACGCAGCCTTCCATTCCAAAGCCTTCCAAAGACCTGAGCGCTTTGCCTTTCACTGGGAAGGATCCTAAGGCAGCTCTGCAACTTCCACCTACCCAGGCACCTGGATGAAGTTGGAGTTGCCCAACTGCCAGCTGAGTAATATCTGGGCTACATTGTCTTCCTGGATTCCAGGACATAAATTGGGTACAGCTCCTACTAGAAGCTACTGGATGTTTCACAGCTATCACCCCCTGAGCATCTTCCCCCTCAGCAGGGTCTCATCTTGTTAGTAAGACCTCAGCAGGGTGCACTGCTGTCAACTCCTCTGCCACACGCAAAGTGGAAAACCAGCTCTGAATGTCCCTAATTCCCAGGGAGATAAATCCCTTCCCTTTCCGACGTACAAGAAGGCAGCGCTAGGTCGACCCTTGCTCGCCCGATGACCGCCCACGGCGGATGCTCTCGCGGAGGCGCCCGCGCCGCGGCCACGTCCCACGGCCGCAGGGGACACCGGGTGCAGCCGAAGCACTCGCCTACCCCGCGCACAGCAGCAGGACTCAACGAGGGATGCGCGAGGCCCAGCTTTTTGTGACCACGGGAGCCACCAGGTGCCTGCTAAGGCCGGGCTCAGGGACGAGGTGATGCCCAATTGCTGGAGGTCTGAGACTCACCCGGGAGCAGCAGCACCTGCAGGCCCCGGCGCCGCGTTCCCAAACCTACACGTGTTCTCCCTCTAGTCATTTCGCTGTTGCAATTCCCCATTCTTTTACTGTAGTTTCCTTTATTGGTGCTTGGTCCACTCTGAACTACGGACCAAGGTGATTTCTACACACTGCAACATCCTTCTACGCCTTTTGTGCACTTGAATAAATAAGTTTTCTTTTTCTTTTTTTACAAGTTTACTGTGCATTGTACAATCTAAAAATAAATGAAATAAAGTATATGAAATTTATAAATCTTCATCACATCTCTATAAAATACAGCCGCTGCTCCGAGCGGCACTTTCTGTACACTGAACACCAAGTCACAATACAATGAAACGCACCAGTCTGCGAGTGCGGCAGCACGGTAAGCTAGATTGCGGTGTTTTTGTGAACTACCATTTAGACCTACTTAAAACAAAGAAATACAAAAGCAAAATGCACTTAGTCAATAATGTACACGGCTAAGCCATTTCTGAATCAAGTATCAAAATCCTACCAACAAAATACATCGTACTTAGAACAAAAACAATGAGCTGAGAAAATATGCTACCTGCACCAGTACAGAAGCACGATTTTCGGTCTACCCAAGGTTGTTAGAAAGGGCATGACCAATACCAGTGATTATGCACCCTGTTCATATGCCAATGACATCCCAAAACGAAGTTACCAGAATAATTACCAAAATTCACAGTGACTTGAGTGCCACCAGCGACTGCAAATGGCCCAGTGAAGTAGTTTGAATGGGGCAGGACTCGAGTTTCTCCTGTTCAAACTGTGCCTGAATTGGCTGAGCTGCCCTGGGCCGAGCCCGGGGTCGTAGCTGCCGGTCCAGAGGGGAGCACTGAGCTCCTGTGTGCGATGGACACAGTCAAACACCACCCAGTTAACAGAGCACCTGGCTCCGTTCAAAATAACACATCACATCTCAGGCTGCCGTGCTCGATAGCTCACACTGCTGCCAGCCAAGTGGATTTTTGGTATATGAACAGAGCAAGTTGAATAAATAAAACACGGACCTTTCTGAGAACTGGGTTTGGCATTGGTCAACCCTCCAAATTCAGCACCAAGGATTCAAACTAGAGGCACAGTTCTGACGGATGAAATAGCACCGAGAGGAGGCTCTTTATATCTCTGCTGGTGTGCCAGTCCTTTATTATTCAGAGTATTTAATAATAAGTTGTATTTACGACTGTAGGTGGAATAAAATAAGTCAAAATGGTTTTCACTTTAAAAAAAGATAAATACTTTATCTAAACTATCAACAATACAAACTGGAGCTTTAAGCATTTCTTTCATTTTTTTTTTCTTTTTTTTTTCTTTTTTTTTTTTTAAACTCCAATTCACAGTAAATATTGTTTTCTCTGCTGTTTAGGTCTTTTTTTGTGTGTTTTTATTTTGTCCAGTAGTAAGAGTAGAAACCCCTGCACAGGCCAGGTGAGCACCTTTCAGTGGAAGCCGAGTGAAGTTGGTCCACGTTGTCCTTGCATAGGTCACATTGGGTTGAGGTAGAAATCCTAGTTACCTGCACAACAGGAGAAGAGACTCATCTAAATAAGAGACAAACTCTACTGTAGGTTAGATGTGACAATCAAGTCCACATTGCACTGAGACCTGGCAGCCAGCAGAGAAGGGAGGATTCTTGCCTTGACCCAGTCACAATTTTACATAAAGGAGGCCTCCAAGTGCAATAATCAAAGCGAGCTCATGTGACTGACCTCAAAGAGTGGCAAAAATGTTCTGGTATTCAGGACTTCAGCTTTTTTTCTAATACACACTGATCTCCCCCACCCTTTTTTCGTTTTTGTTTTTAATGACCTTGGGGCAGGGTCATAACCCAGTTTCAGTAACAAAAACAGGAGAAACAAAGCAGATGATTTTAGCCCCCAATCCCAGATTTCAGTCTCAGTTCATGAGGTCTCTGAGCACAGACATTCGTATCAATGCAACTGCTCAAAGACTTGACCCGTGTTTGAGAACCACAGTGTGCTGGACCACAGCTGTCTACCACACATCTACATTACACATCATCTGCTCTCTAGTATTGCATGACCCCAGTTTCTGGGAAGGCAACTGCTTCAGCAGAAGACTTCCACACTGCTCTCATTCGAGTCACACACATACACAAAATGCAAAGCCTAAAGCTCCTCATCCCCTTTCCCCACTCTTATTTTTATCTGGTGTCCTTCAGACCTACTGAGTAACCACCATGCTATTCTGCATTAGTCCCTGTTAATGCACAGGGGCCAAATTATTCAACTGTTACTAGCCACGTTTTCTGGCTTATGAGCATTAAGGCAATACTTACCCACCTCACAAAAAGCCTATGTGAGGACTTTTCATGTCTGTGGAACAGTTTGATGATGAAAACACTATACACAATGCACAGTCAAAAGAATCTCTCAGGTAGATTGTGGTTGAGTCAAATGTTTTATAAGCAGCAAAGAGTATTCAATCATATACTGTATGTTACTTTGGTATCAATGAACAGCAACAATGTCAAAGACCTACAAGAAAGCACGGAGCAAGCTCTGGGGCCTAACATACTCAGTTAACTTTGCAATCATGAGTTACATCATAACACCACAGAGTATTTTCATAACAGCAGTACCCAACTCTGTGCTGGTACACTTTGTTCTGGCATTGCTCTGGAAGGCATGGAAATACTCAAGTAGACACATATACTGTCCTGGGATCTTCCTCTCTCTTACAGCCTCTGCACGGACTACAGTTAACCCTGCATATTCCCTACCTTCTCCTCCACCGTCTACCCAGGAAGTCAGTGACTGCCAAAGTGAGCATAAATACAGCATCCGATGGAGGCCGTTGCTGCCAGCCCTATCCTGGAAACGCAGTCAAGCTGCAGAGCACAGATAACGAGGCCTTCCTGGTTTCTTCTTACCCAGTTTCTAACTTTCTTCTTTGCTGCCTGTGTTTACATCAAGCAGTCAGGACTCGTAACTGCTTTTGCTCCTTTGTTTTGCAGGGCTGCAAGGGATGCACTGGGTGCAGTGCAAGAGCAGTGCGTTTCCTTACCAAGACAAAGCTGCAGCTCATAACCTGGAGATTTTTTAACTTTTGAGTATTTGGAGCAGCTGTTGTTGAGTGACACTACAAAAACAAGACCACATTGCCACACAGTCACGAAGCAGCGCCATTGCGTGCGGCCTAATGCTACAGAAACATGGACTTGGGGGAGATGCAACAGTCGGTTTCAGAGGGCAAGGGAAGGGGGAATCGGAGTAGGCAACAACCACTTCCAACATCTGTATAAAAACATACCTAAAAAATAGACATTTCCTCCTGATTTCAAATGGCCAAGGAAAAAAAAAAAGCTTTCAAGAAGCAATCCCAACCTGAACATAATGCTAATGTCGGATGAGACAGACCCGAGTTACCAGAGCGAGCGCTCCGTGTCGAGAAATCCTGACTCCCAACCACGAGGCATTAAGACTCTCCATCCTCTGCCGTAAGTGCTGCCCCCAGCTTAGAGCTTTCACCGAGCCCGTTCCCACCCTATCTCTGCAAAGGAAGAAGCGTCAGTGAGCATCTCGCACACAACTCCTGCTGTTTTTTCTCTAGCCTTACCTTACAAAATAAGAACTGTTAGCTAAGCAAGCTCTTTATCGCGGCTTAACCCCAGAAAGGTGCGAAGCATAAGGAGGCTGCATGCCAAGTGTAACCCACATAGCGGAGGTGCCGGCTGCGTTGGCCGGCGCGATGGCCGGCGCGGTCTGTGCCAGCGCCACGCGGGGCAGAGGCGGGTGGTGGACGGTAAAGGAAGGGCGGGAGGGTTTGTGCTGCAGAGAGGTTAGCTTAAAGGACAAAGAAGCGTTAGCAGGTTGGACAGAAGCAGCAGAAGAGGATGGCAAAAAGGCTTCGCCGGGGGGGATGGAGGGCAGGGCCTGCAGCAGCGCAGGCTCAGGGTTAGCAGCGAGTAATGGAGGAGGAGGAGGCAACGAGACGTTAGGAGGCGGCGGGGGATGAAAGACAGACTGCACCGGCGCTCTGTTGAGCTGCTGAGCAGATCTATTCTCGCTAGATGTTACTAAATTAGAGGAGGGGGACGGGAAGGATGGGGCTGAGGTGCTGGCAACAGCCTGCAGAGGGTTTAAGCTTAGCACGGTGCTGCTAGAGACAGCACTGCTGCTGAAACTGGCTCCGAATTGATGAGGAGAGGAGGCAGAAGGCACCGCATGGTTAAAAATACCTGCAAACAGGAGAGAAAAACTCAGCTTCAACAGATGGGCTTTGTACAGTCTCAAGTGACAAGAGAAACAAAACAAAACAAAAGCCAAACAAAGAAAACAAAAACAAACAAAACCAAGCAAAATTATAGTAGTTACAGCCCCATACAAAAATATGCAGCATGAGATAGCAGCAAGCAATGAGAGATAATGGTGCAGGCCAGGAGGTACAAAAGATTTCACTTACCTTTCCTACTGCCAACCTCTAAATGGCACGAGGGAAAATGGTCAGACCCAAGAACTCTCAGTTCTACACCACCCGGGTGGAGTTTTGATGAGATTACGTGGTCTCTAGAGTTGTTTATCTGAAGACTCAAATTGCTGCTCTTCCCTCCCCACCCTCCTGCTTTCCCACTTACAGGGCAGCAGAGGGGAGATTGTATTTCCAGCAAATCTACATGCTGAGAGATGTGAGAGTTAGGATTTCCCGACATGGTGCCTGAATGATTATGGACAGGTAAGAAAAAACTGCCCTTGACCCTTAGTTTTGGCAGGTTCAGACTATCTTCTACTCCTGCCAGCTTGTCTCCAGTTTGGGCCACAGAGGCCAAGCCTGTGCAGAATCTCAGAAGTGCAAGGTGCATATGGCATTGCCCTTCCTGGCAAAGAAATGCTCTTCATGTCCATTCAAGAGCCAGAATGCTACACAATTCCCAACACCATCTCCTCTGAAGAGACACTGATGTTTTTGCTCTTCCTGGATCATGCTACATCCATTCAAGGCCTAATCCCAACCTTTCGTCAAGTTGTCAAGTTAGAGATCCTTAACTTGGTAACATGACAAGTTAAAATCTTTTACCTGCAGGCAGACCTAAGTTGGTTCCAACACAGCAACATCTGAACAAGCAAACATTATGAAAGCACAAAGTCTGGGTGTATTCTTTCATTAAGGTGATACAACATGCTCATCTAGTAGACAAAGCTCATGAGATTTCACTGTGGGGAACTGCACTCATCCTAGCATTTCCAAGAGATAGAGGAGACAGGTTATGTGGGACAGATCTGCTTCACATCCTGCAGAAGTGAAAGGGTCTCACCCCTGGAGAGGCAGAGTCAGACTTTCCTTTAGGCCCTGTCTTATACCAGAGAAAGAGTTCTGCCTACCTCCAACTGTTCCACCTGTAACCCCAGGAGAGAAGTTCCCCATAGTGTGAGAATTAGTCAGTCTGGTTGCAGCTGATGACACGTGGACCAGACTGGCAGCAGCTGGCATTGAATTAAATAAGGACTGCAATACTGAGGAATTTGTCACTGAGTTGAGGTTTGCTTGCAAGGCCATGGGGCCCAGGGGGAACTGTGATCCAGTGGTCAGAGCGTTTAGGAAAGGATGGTGCGGCTGAACAGAAGATGCTGGGTTGCCTGCTGAAGAAACAGCAGTCGAAAGGCTTTTACCATTCAGAAGGCCACCAGATGAAACAGCAGCAGAAATGAAAAGGTTGTGGCCGTTTTTGAACTCCACATCTCGGTCCCTTCCTTTGCCGACCTTTCCGTTATGCTGCAGAGAGTTTTTTTCCGAAGAACCCCCAGTACGGATGCTTATTTCGCTGATCTCTTTGTTTTTGCCCCCTGACCGATTTAAGTCTTCTCCTTTCGTGCTGCTGAGGCCTTCGAGTTGCCTCTTGTTCAAAAACGGGTTTGTTTCCGACACCCCCACATCTTTGCTTCGCTGTGACTGAAACCCCAGGGAGCAGTTGGAAGTCACGTCCGAAGTCTTATGCGGAAGAGAAGCACCGTCAATAAAGCTGTGTAAACCCAGGTCTGCTGACAGTCCACCGTTGTACGTGAACCCATTAGTGGAGTTTGTGCTCGGGCTGAGCCCCTCGGCCCCAGAGGAGGGCATGGCAATGCTTTTCCTCGCGTGTGCTGTGATCTTGGAGTCAATGGCTAGGCTATCCTCAGCGGGCGGCCGAAAGGCGAAGAGCGAGTTCTGGCTCAGGGATGAAGCCGACTGCAAGGGACTGTCCGTGGTTTTGGTCAGGTTGATGTCGGATATTGGTGAGAAAGTAGATTTCCATTTACTGCTGTTCATGTTCTCGTTGGTTTGTGCTTGTTTCCTCCCGGGTAAATTGCCGCCTAGTTTGGAAGAAAAGGTAACAAAAATATCAAAAGAACAGCTTTCACTGAGTCTGTTCATCAAGAATAGGGAGCTCTCTTTGGGTTTGCTTCCTCTCCCCCCGACCAGCACACATATTTAATCAATCTGTAATTCTATTTGATTCAAAGGCAGAAATACATGACAGAAGTCACCTAATTGAGCTCCAAACCTAGTTTAGTGCTCTGAAAAGGTCTGAGAAGACTAATCTACTCTTCCCTCAGTCTTTGCACTACAAAGCTCTTCCCAAATCCTGTGTCATTAAAAAAGAAGTCAGGTGGAGACAGAAAGAACTGATCCAAGTTCTGTAGATATCAGCCATACGTCTTAGTGACGATTATGTAAAGCCCCAGCAGAGCTGCAGACTGCTCTACAGCACACGAGTGCAGAAAAGCCTGCTATCCACTCAAAAAGTGGGTGGCAGACAACCCATTTCCATAACATGAATGATTAATGTTCCTCACACCTACCGTTTTCAACAGTCTTCTGTGGAGATTTGCTCTCCAGCGATATCGTTGCAATTTTCCTCTCAATTCTAGTGAGAAAATAAAAAATGTTATAACACTAATTGCAGTCTTATTGTTGTACATTACCCTTGTAGCTTATCTTCCTTATGTTCATGTCCTAAGAGTTGTCTAGAGTATAAAAGCAAGTCATCTATGAAAGCATATTGCTACTAGAAGCACTTAAAACATTTTTTTTAATCCACCAAAAACTCTGAGCAGAAGCTGTTAAAGATTTTCACTCTTTCTCAAGATTATTGTATGTTCAGAGAACTTTACTGTTGCTCTAATTTCATGAGAAGATAGGCTGCTGCTATCACCTCAATATTAGTTACTTTTCCTGTGCCTCAAGCAAGAAAAAGAAATCACTGCATCCACATGCAGGTAGAACGTAGCAATATTCAGAGCAAAACACAACATTTTGGGGTAGGAAGGAAAGAATTCTTCATCAAGCTGAAAGCAGCGAGTGAAAGGGAGACAGATTCTTGGTTAAAAGTTATATCCGTGGCCCCAGTAACTCCTACAAAACAACAGAGTAACCAAAAAAATCATTTCTATACTATTTCTTACAAAGGCCAGATACACAGCAAACACAGCAGTAATAGGCTCCCACTTGTTCAAGCACTGCTTTCTAAATAATTTTCTGATTTACAATTTCAGCCTCACAAATGGCCTAGTGGAATCATTCTCCAAGGAAAGGCAGCAAAGAGAAAAGACCTAACACATCCCTCTAGTTTAAAAGACCGAGGAAAATCAGAGCAATCTCCTCATGGTATCTGTGCCTGTGTATTCACCTGGTGCTGTTGTGCTCATCTTCAGATCCCTGCTCTTCATCGGACGTTAGAGGGGAGTAGTGAACGCCGTTGGTCTGAACGAGCGGCTTTTCCTTTTTCAGTACCGGGGGCAGGTCATTGTCCTGGTAAGGAACAGGAGAGTTCTTCAGGGAGTTTTCAGGAGAGGAAATGGCTGTTATTTCTAAAGGCTGGTTAATGTTATTGACCTGGTCAAGAAGGAAAGAAAACAGGTAAGGAGAAGACTATCCGTTTAGAAACAAAGTATTGTGTTAAAGATATTAGAACAGGGCATAGGCATGCTGAGCACTGCACTAGTCAGGGGCACAGGCTTTAAGACAACTTGGAAAAATAGCTACTTTTAAGAGTTTGATTTTATGCCTAAATGCAAAAATGAAAACATGGTGAGATAACTACACTTCTTTTCCAACTACTACTGCAGGATCACATGAACACAACCTGTGTAGCAAGCTCAGTCATGTGAGAACATCATACACTTCTGGCACACTCACACTATTGAGTCAGTCTTAGTTTAAATTACTTTCAAAATATTTCATTTTCAGCCTTAAAAAAAAAAAAAAAAAAAAAAGAAAGCTTTGCTGAAGACAGAAGCTTTTTGCCTGAACTAAAGCTAAGGGCCTGAACTAAAAATTAAGAGATTATTTTAATATTTAATGTCCTGATAAAAAAAAATCCCTCCTTGAAGATCTTCTGTCCTTACAGAAATAGGTCCTCAACTTTTTAAATTCACTAGCCTCTCACAAAGGTCATTCTCACACAGGCTCTGATAGGCTCTTCATGCCAATTTTAGCTACTAGCTCTGTAAAACCCATGGGTACTTTAAGGAACAGAGCAATTAGAACCTATTTCCAATTTAAAGGGGTTTCCCAGGCCCTCCTGTTTTGCTAGAGCTCTTCGTTTTTGCCCTTACCATGGAGTTAATGTTGAGTGGTGACCCCGATGGCTGCGTAAAGAGTCCCGACACAGTAGGTAAGGATTTGCGTTTCGGGGAGACCCCGGAGTTCCCGCTGGGATTCCCGGTAGAAGATCTCTTCCGCCGCCCTCGCTTCTTCCCATCCTGCGCGTGTGCTTGGCCACAGTCCAGCCGAGCGCTCGGGGGCAGAGCACTGTGCTTGTTGGAAGGGGATTGTTTTACATGTCCTGTATTAGGAGAGATTGTAAAGATGATTCTTCTCTTGGTCTCGTTCTCAGGATCTGAAAACGCTGCATCAGACTGAAGATCCCCCTTTGTTCCTTCGGCAAACATCTTCTGAGCATCTGCATATTGCAATACCCCTACCAGGCTCTGGGAGGTGCCATTTAACCTGGGGCTTGTTGAGTGCTGGTGAGCAGGGGAGTTTTGCCCGGAGTTCCTTGACTGCATCATTAGCAAAGGATGTTGTGGAGTGGAACTCCGAGACCCTACTGAGTTAAAGAGACTCCCAGAGTCGTCCAGAGCTGCCTGATCAACACTATGGTTAAGATGGGCTGGGCTGTTTGAAAGAGTTCCATTGACTGCCACGGAGCCAGAAGAGTAAGAAAAACCTGTTGAGAGGGAAAGGATACATCACTGCTTCTGCTGAGCGACAGTTCACAGCGCTAGGATCAGGGATGTTAGGAGTGGTTTCACCTGTACCTGTGTTAGAGCAGCCAGCAGCTCTGCCTTATGCAGGAAGCTGCAGGGCTGCTTTTCCCAAAGGGAGGTTGGGAACCCAGCGCTTAGCGTGGACGGCTTCAGTGAGCAGCTAGACCGTTTCACTAGTTTTTTGCCAATTGAGGAAAATCCATGTGCTATATGGGACGTATCCCATGGCCTACCCAGCCTTTAAATGGAACTCAAGGATTGTTTTTCTTTTCCTATAGGAAACGACAGCCAAGCCCTTTTTTTTTTTTTTTTTTTTTTCAAAATAGATGCTAGTAACAACACAAGCCCCTAGAAGTGGTAAATAGAAAGGACAAATATCTGATGAGGGATCTGCTGTAGAACAGCTTCTGTATGCTAGAAATTAGTTTTCCTGGTCCACAAGCTCTCTGTGTCCTGAACAGCAGAATTTCAACAGATAAGCAATTCAGAAGCAGATTTTACACTTGAAGTATCCCTGTTCTCTCCCCTCTTGACGGGTCTTCCACCCCCAGCTACCCTAGTAGTTGTGTCTCCTCACGAGACACCACTGTGACTGCATCAGGGAATTAATTTTGCCATTGAAAAGCCCCACCACACTGCTAAAATAAAACTTGCCAAGGCAGATCAGCTTGAAGCACAGCTGTGCAAAGCGTTTTGCTGGTTTGCTATGGTGTAAAGGTAAGACTGTCTTAATGCACATAGAGTTTACCAAAGGAATTATTGGCTTACGCTGCAAGGTGCTGCAGTTCAGATAACAAAGGCAATTTCAAACTAGTTCTCCGTACTAAAGGGCATCTCAAGTGTCTCAGAACATCATCGTGCACAACGCGCGGTTCCTGGGTCGTGCTACAGGACACACATTTATCGTGTGCTCTGCTACCTCGAGTGACCTGATGTGCCCGGAACGGGGACACGAGCACCCGTGGGTGCCGCCACGGGGACGCAGCGCAGCTTCGCGCGGATGAGGCTGTTACCTGAGGTAGCCAAAGCCAGTGGCTTGTTTCCAGCAGCATTGCTTACACCATTATGAGAACTAGCACCAATCTGCTTTTCAAGTGTCGATGAGTCTCTATTCTGATGAACTGGGCTAGGTGTGCTTCTCTGGGGAGAGAGAAACAAATGTTTCAGTCCAGCAAATACACTCAGAAGCCACCAATTTAAACAAAATTCACATGCATTAGTATATCTACCAAGTGGCTCAGCTTCCCGATTGCCCTGGATTTTGCTCGTTTTGAGGAAAACAGACAGCATATTATGGGACAAAAATAAATTATGATTACATTGCAATAAGATCTAGCATATGCCAGATCCCATGCAAACCCAGAGAGAACAGGCTCATTGTCCCAGAAAGTTTTGGCTCAGAACAGCGCAGAGGTCAGTGAACAAGCACCTCAGTCCACCGTGTCACAGGCAGACAGAGAGGCAGCAGGTGGCTGTATCATGTCCCTAAGCTGCTTTGGGGAACCTGGTGTGGAGCAACCCAGAAATAACCTGGATGCACTAGGCTACACTGCCTGCTGCTCTATCTCAGGTATTATAAACAAGTGGTATTTTTCAAATTGAGGCACAACAGTTGTGAAACCCCAGCCTGAATAAATAACATGCTGAAGTTAGAGGTAGCCCAGAGCTGGCAGTCTGTGCCCCGTTCAGTCCTTCTGAGGAGATATCACCACTCCTTGGAGTTGGGAAGACTCCAGTTACGCTACAGCTATGAAGTCTATGGCTGGAATGATATAATGGATTGAAGATTATGAAACAACCCCAGCGTTTCAAATCCAGGATTGTAATGCTCAACCTCAGACACGCTTGGGTTAGATTCTAAATTCACAGCTCTTAAGAATCATTCACTGCTTTCACATAAGTGCTGTACTGTAACCAGGACCCAGCCTCTTTAAACTTGCTCTACCTCCAAGAGTCACACGGGCTTATCAAGTTTTCAAACAGATGGCCTGAAAAAAGAACGTTGTAACAGCTGGGAAGTCAGCTACAGAGCAGTTACTCACACAGCAGGTATTACAATCTCAAAGCACTGTCCACGCTCATCTCATGCTCTCATGAGATGTAAGAAAAAAGATCCACCATCTATGGATGGGCAAAGTGAGGTAAAAGAATGTCTCCTTTGTGTCATACAAGGAGGTAAGGGCTAAGAGCATGTTTCCTTGTGAGGTTCTTGGCTCTCAGACCCACACACCTTCAAACACTGTTACCTTCCCTCCCAGTCAGTTCAGACTGTATGTGCTTTTGATGTACGCATTCACTTTCCTTTCCAAATGAAATGCTCCCAACTCCATCTAGACAACAACTAAGAACCAAGAGCAGCCCAACAGCAGCCTCCCCCGAAGCATCAGAGAGCCCAGATTAGCAGCCCCCTCAGGATCTGGTGCACAAGACACCATTACTGCCCACGGGGATTTTAGTTAGGCATGGAAAGCGTTGACAATCCCTTACTCACCACCTTCTCAACACGGCTAGGTAGGACTACGCTGGCCAGAGGGATACTAACAGGGAGTTTATTGGGCTGCACTGTGCTGAGAGGAATACTGATAGGTAGGCTGGTGATAGTTTCTCCATTACTCACAGAGGTTCTCTCTCTCAAAACCTGCAAATGGGAAAAAAAGAAAAAAAGTCATGCTTTACCGTATGCTATTACCAAAAACACTTTGTAAAAACTAACAGTAACCTGCTCATTTAGTTGCATGTGATTGTATAAGAACCACATGCTTAAGAGTGATGACTACAGAAGCAAAGCCAGCTTGCCCAGCAACACCAAACTACTGGGACAGGAGTATCTGACTGTAGGAAGATATGCAAATTCCAGCTACCGCTAGCCACAAAAGCATTAGGAAAAGCACGCTTCAGGCAAGCTCATTTCCTAGTGCTTTGTGAGAGCTCTGTGGAAAGCACTCATCTGACAACTTTTTTATCTCGAGGTGCTCTGTATGCAGAAGAGGCAGCAGCCAGAAACATTTCCATGGTTACTTCCGGCTGAAGGGCTCTTGCTCTGAAACAAGCACCAGGAGGATCCATAGCAGGACCAAGCATGAGGCAGAAAAGCTTTTTTTTTTTCTTTTTTAAAATGGAAAATAAACTTGTGTTGAAGTAGAAATAGATTCAGACCAAACCAAAGTCATACTGTATTGCTGGCATAATCCATAGGCAAACCAGCCTCTCTGAGGAAAGTCTCTGTCATGAGCTCTGTCCTCTATTCCTCTAGCCAGTCCCTTCTTTCTACCACACCTACTCTTTAGTTGTGTTATATCCTACACCAAGGTGACCACAGGACAGAAAACATTTGCATCCCTCAGTCCCTGTTTCTCTTTGTTACTCTTTCTTTGTTCTAGCAGGTGTAAGGTCCTTGCACCCCAGCACCATCACAGCTCTTCTTACCTTCTCGCCTGCAATGGGTAAGGCCGCTGGGGAAGAGGGCCGAGTTTCCTGAGGACTCAGCTTTATGCCATTAATACCAGGGCTTGGATATGTAAGGCCATTCTCTTTTACATGGTCAACTCTGGAACAGACATGTACAATGGTTAGAATACAAGGAATTCCTGTACCAAACACAAGGCACTACACAGCTTCTTCATCTGATCAGTTGGCAATGCTGGTTTTGCTGATCTACAGTACAAAGCTTTAAGTATATAAAACTATTTAAAATTATTTTTCCACAATGCGAATAAACTACTTTTACTAAAGACAAATACAGTCACCCCTCTTTTCCCATCCTAGAAAATGATCACTCTCACCTCTGGATCTCATTAGCTGTTGCTTTTCCATTGACTGCATGGTCTTGATTCAAGTGTCTCCTTAGTGCTATTTTGGCAGGGGAAAACCTGGTGTAATCGGGTAAGGACAAGCTCGTCATCTTGTCTGCCTTCTGTCTGCTGTTGTGGTTTGGAGTACATGGAACTATTTCTTGGTCCAGATGGGAGGTCGTGTACTGAGGGGTGTTCTGCTTGGAGGAGGGCCTGCTAAAAGTGTTATGAATTTCATAGGGAGCAGCATGGCCGTTCATGGACAGTTCTGGGCTCATACCGTTGATGTGGGGCACAGGAAATTTAGAGCATTCAAGCTCAAGTTGGAACCTGCCATGATCAGCCTCAGGATCACGGCTCAGATGGTTTTTATTGCGTAGCTGGACTGACAGCGACTCATCTGACGGCGTATACGATTTCAGCTGCATGAGCTCCTGCTGTCTTTGACTTTTCTCAAGTTCCACAATGCTGATCTTTAAATGAAGAGGAAGACAACAACTAGAGACCATACTTAGGAATTTTAACACATTATGGAGTTTGCCATCAAAGACAACTCAGAAATAGTTTCATTTATTTCTGGGAGTAATGCGAAACAAGTGACCTACAATTTTAGAACCAAATCTCAACAGGCCACTCTCATTTTGTAAGATCAAAAGATGCCAGTAAGGGGAATGACTCAGAGACTATTAGAAAGCACCCTTCAACTTTTGGAAGCAAACATAAGGTACCTCCAATATAAATTTATATATATTATACATACACACACACGTGCATGTTTAAGAAGTACGGAGTAACTCACTACTGCCAGTCACAGAAGGAAAGCATCATCCCATGACAAGTCAAAAATAAAAATCCCTCTAAAGCTTATCTCACAAGGAGGAAAGAAACTTCTGTGGTCACAGGAGTTTCATTTTTTTAAACTATGGTTAGGTGATATTCTGTGGAAACCAATCTCTGAACCGAAACTTCAAAACACACAGAAGACTCTGAAGCCACACATTATGAAAAGAAAGGTGCTGCTTTTGTATATTAGGTCAAGATTTCTAATGATTTCAAAGAACCATGATTCCATCTTTCACAGCACTACCAGGGAATCAGGTCATAGTGTCTGCTTCCTTTTATTATCCTGAGAGTCAAAAAAGTTACCTGTGTTTTTATTTGTCTCAATTTTACCAAAACCCTCCGAAATATTAATCTCTAGAAAAAGTGTAACAGCCAGCTGGCTTACTCATAATATCATATCTAATCAAACACCCCAAGAGGCCTATTATCCAAGAGTTAATCCAGGCCTGTGACTTTAGACCTCTTTTTCCCCCCTTGCTCTCTACCTGCAACTCCAAACAGTGCTTTTGTTTCTCAGAAATTTGGTTCTTCAATGCCTGCTTCTCCTTCAGCAAGTTCTCCAGTGACAGTGTAGACCAATCCAGCTTCAGTTCTTCACACCTCGCCTTCAGCTGCGGAGACACAGAATGAACAGATTCAAAAAGGACTTTTGCTGTTTCCCACCACCCAAGGCACAAGGCATGTGCCATCATCTTTCAATTGGATTTCTGCAAGATGCTTTTCGTCCTCTTAAACTCAAGCCAAACACCACCAGAATGGTCCTGTAGCCCCACTTTAATGTGGCAGGAGCTGGCCAGCTTTTGTCTTAACTTGTCTTATCACCCAGCATAACTAAACACCCCAGAACAAATTTTTCCCCTTGTCTACCTTAATCCTGAAAGAAAAAAGAAGGGTTATGGCCACCATGAAGCAAACACTATACAAACTTCTTGGCCAGTGAGATCCAAGTTCAGTGTCGAGCCAGCTCAGGCCAGAGCCAACTGTCATCTCAGCATTTCTTAGAGGTAAACAAAGGTCTCCAAGAAAAGAGACCGCCTGCATTCTCTCCACCAATATCGTTCTTCTATCGAGAAATATATATGTTCCTCTATACAGGAACAACCAGCCAGTTGAGGCAGCTCTTGGGTCACAACCTGCCTTCCTTGCACAAATGGGAGCATCACTGCTGCTCAGATCCAAGCTTTGTACACACCAGCTGTAAGCTCTGGTTCCTGAGTTCGCTGTTATCCTTCTCCAGCTGTTTTGTCTGTTCTTTCAGTTGCTGATTGTGAGCGGAGATTTCCTTCTGAGCCTGAATCAGGTCATTGTATGTCAGAGCTTTAACTCCCAACTACACGATGGAGGATGAGAGAGAGAGAGATCATTCAATATAATCTTGACACTAAATCCAGACAACTGTCACATTCAAAGGTAACATTAAGGAGACCTGTAAAACTTTAATAGTTTGTAGAAAGACACTCTGAAGCACTTTCTCATCAATATTTTACAAATGAGGTAATGAGGAAGCTCAGAAATACCTCATTTTGAGTGGCTGCTCTAGCAATTCAACTTCAAAGCTGCCATTTAGTTTCTCTTGTCAACCACGAGAACACTATTTTTGCAGAGCAATCACGTTTCCTTTTGAGCTTCTGAACTTGCACTAGCAATGCAGAATTTGTTCAACTAACAACAACCCTTTATTAAAAGGCAGTGTTGCCTGCGGACTGTCCCCCCTTCAAGTGGTGCACAACAATCTGAACAGCAAAAATAAAACCTAACCAAAGAAGCAAAGAGATTCCATGTAATTTAATGCCATCTGCAAAAAGGAGGTTGAAGACCCTGGACCATTCTGGTCTTGCACCTTTTTAGCAAAAACATTTCCACCCAGATGGCAAACAAGCATCCATTTCCACCAGACCAACCTCATCAAGTTTCTGTTGAAAAAGACGTTTTATTTCCTCTTTCTGCGCCTGGCAGTGGGTGAATAACTGCTGTGCAGTCCCCAGTAGCTGGGCATTTTTCTCCTAGAAGAGGAAGGAGTGAGAAAATGCATGTTCAGCACCAAGGAAGGAAGAACTTTACATCTAGCTTTGAAGGCAAGCTGGTACACAGATGGAAATGAATCTGAGCTCAGAGAGGAGATCTGGGGACTAATGCAGCTCTTCTCAGGCTTCTGGCATCTTGTATTTGCCAGTGTTCAATGCTCTAAGGAAGTTTTTTAAGCTGAAAAGAACCTTTAAATAAACTTCTTTACTATACAGTAACATACAATCAGGACATTCTTAAAAATTCATTTTCAACTGCCTAGCACATCTGTAAAGAAGTAGCAATAACCACATCCTATAGAGGAGAAACAGAACTGGAAAACATTATCTGCATGAAATCTGTTACTAAACTGAGAATAGGCTAAATCTCTAGAGTCCCAACTCAGAGTTTTCCTACATAATATTCACAAAAGACACTCAGTAAATGAAAATACGTTGTGGGGGAGGCAGGAGGAAAGTCATAAATTAGCCAAACCATTTGTGTTTCTAAAGCCAAAGTCACTCTAATGAGCCACCCTACCCTTCTACTTGTGGGACGTTTCCTGCCTGCAACATTCCTTAACTGGATATCGGCTTACTCATTCCGGGGTCTTGCCCTGGGTGAGCAGCAAAGGGCCAGGGTAGGACTGGCTGAGGAGTCTCACATTTTTTCCATTCCTTGTCGCAGGATGAGCGCAGGGAGAGGAAAGAGCTTTGCAGATCCCACTTGCCCCCACACAACTTCTGCGGGAATCAAGCAGGAATTTGGCAAACAATTCCCGAGGAGGTGGAGGACAAGGAGAAAGACACCGTGACCCTCCAAACCATGCGGTCAAGTGAAGCAGCAGCACGAGCAAGTTCCAATTGTGAGAGCAAAACAAAGGGCCCGGTACACGGCTCCCGTTGTCTCTGACTCTAAAGATTGGGCTGAGTCCCTGCAATCCTCAAGGTGCCATAGGGTGACGCGGAAAAGATCCACTGGGCTTCAGCATCAGGCATCTCATGTGGCCTTTTCGAGCAGTGCAGGAGCTGACAGCTCCATCTAAGGGTACTCTGGTGAACTAGCAGCTCAGAGCATCTTGTTTATTTTAGAATCGTAGTAGAGACATTTTTATTGTACTTAAAAAAAAATAAAAGAACATGTTAGGGGGAGTCCTTAAACAGAGCAACAGCCCCTCTGCCAGAGCAGCCTGGCATCTGCTTTCATGAAGTGTAACCAGCCGTGCTCTTGGCATAACACTCCATCAAATCATCGTTTCACATCAAATTTCCCATTTTAAATGTCTTTACGCAACAGCTGTCAGATGCCAGCACAAAGTGATAACTTTTCCTCACTCTCGAGTCGTACTTCCAGCGTACGCACAATAATTTCACACTATTGTTTTTTATTCTGTTCCTGTCCAAGGAGGTAAGTTAACTTTATGATCTGATTTTTCTGATAACATTCCTACACGCAGAAAAATATACTGCTCAAAGAAAAGATCCCAAATTCCAAGTGCTGTTCAATGGCGAGAACAAGCGGGAGCAAGCGCCGCAGAAAGGTTTTCATTAGCATCACAACAGCACCAGACCCACTCGCTGGAAGGAATGGGTGGCACAAGTTGGCCTTTCTCCTGCAGAAAAAAAGGGTTCCAGTTCTGGAAAACCCCACAAAACACTGCCCCGGCTCGACGCTGACACTTGCAGAAAGGAAATAAAGGAAACGTTCAATGAGGGCTACCAAAAGGTGGACTTCCCAGGACGTTAAAGGGTATGGAGGAGCTCCAAGGGGAAAGGTTCCTCTAAGCAAGTACCTAAGCAGGCTATCTCATTGGGACTAATTTAGAAAGCAATTAAATTATTCATTAATTGAGGTAAGGCAATGCAAGACGGAAAGGTATTTAGGCAGTAAATCTCCTCCCTCTACTGGAGAGAAGTCTCTACAGCAACAGATTAAAAAACACTTCATAATTAAAGTATTTTCTATGCCTTTCCATGTATTTCAACTCCCCATTTAAAGTTTCATACTTTGCCCACCAGTGTAGCTTTGACATACTATCAGGTCAGTACCAAGACACTAACAAAGCATCCTTAAGGCTGCTAGGATATTTGCAACTCATTTAAGGTTTTCTTAAAACATAAAAAATAAAATATCAAAAAAACCCAAAAGCAAATAAACAAAAAACCCTCAGAAAATTCAATTCCAAGGATTTAAAGCAGACCTCATTCAAACTCGCTGCAATGTTCAGCTAGATTAATCCAAATGTAATTATTTAAGCACAGATATACTGGCAGCTCACAGGATGCCACCATGGAGGGAAGCAAAAGAATATTTAAGCACATACTGCTGGAAAAGTTGACCTGTAACATTTGGAAATTAAAAGTTGGGGAGAGAAGGAAGGGTTCACGCCACAGCACTTTCCATATGCATGCAGCTCAGTGTGGAACTCGAACTGCAGAATAAAGTCTTGTCAGGTGGTCTGCAAGGCGGGTAGCATGTTAAGAGGGAAGAGGAGATGCATCTTTCCCAGTTCATGGAGAGGGAATTTAAGCACACAGAATGACAGGCTGACCTAGTTAACAAAATCTCCATGTACAGTCATTCAGAGCAAGCCTTGCTCTGGCAGGGTCTTCAATTGGTCTGGTGCAGCACAGTCATTAAGATGTGCACAGTTACAGCCCCCAGGGTTTTCCCCCTTCTTCTAAGGTATTTAGTAGCCTGGCAGCTTTTGTTTAGAAATGCTTTTTTAAAAAACAACCAAGCAAAAACACTACCTTTTCCTGCTCCAGTAACTGTTGCAGACTTGCTTTATACTGAGGAGTTTTCATGTATGCCATGAACTGCATGTACTGGATCTTAAAAGAGTCTGCAAAATACATAAGGAGATAACACATTTCAAATGAGAGAAAACACATTTAACCCTCCTTGCTCCCTCTTTTTTATTGTTTGGGCTGTAAGTTCCCCTTCTTTTGGGCCAAATTACAGTTGAAGCAATATCAAAAAGAAATGCAAACCAGGATGTCAGCTACAGCAACAAGCAAGAGACTAGATGTCAAAGGAGGCAGTGGGGTGAAGTTCCCCCACTCTTGTTCAATCTAGAGCTCCCACTGTGGCTGTCTATTGACCGCCCTTTGATTTGCTATTTAGAAATAAGTAAGTAAAGGTCCCCAAAACACCCTACAGACCAACACCACTTCAGGCTCACCTAGCAGCTTCTGTAGTGCGGGTGGGGTGGGTGTCACCAGTAGCTGATTAGATGAATGCCGTTGCACTTTAGGAGGTAGTTGGTAATATGGACTATGAGGTGACTTGTATGCATCTGAAGAGAGAAAAAGATCACAAATTCATGAAATTCAGCATTTCTGGCAAGTGTACAGTAGCTTTGTCATTAGAAAGTATGTCATCTATAATGCAAGACCCAGTAAACTGGCTAGATCAACTACTATAACAAATGGTGTTTGGTGTTAGCCTGAGAACAGCAGCGAGCAAATAACTGCAGGCAGCTTCAATCACCAGCATCATCATCATCATCTCAGACCAAGATAGACCACCACTTCAAAAGGAGCTTTGCTTTAACAGTAAGGGAGAAGTCACACATGAAGACCAAACTAAAGGGAGCAATAAAAGAAGCAGGACCTCAAAGCACTCAGACTCTCAACACTTTGCTAGAAGTGAGGCTTCCTCAAACTCACCCTGAGGAGAGGATGAAGATGTTTGCGACACAGTTTGAGCATGCAGAAGTTCTAGTGCAGTTTGGTTCTTCTTGGTCTTGCGCTCTGTATTTGCAGTGTTCATTTTCTTGGGACGTCCTCGTTTCCTGCCTGCCATTTTCCTTCCTTTTTTACTCAGCTTTTTCTTACGTGCTTTGGAGGGAGATGGCTTTTTAACAGAATTTGCCCCAGCTTTTTCTTCTTCAGCACCAGAATCCTAAGAGAATTTAAAAAACCCTTTAATATTTAGCCGTTTATACCTGCGTATGCAGCAATCCTTTTAAGCAAGCATGAATAATTTGGTTTAATAATTTTTGGAAGAAAGTTTGTGCACTCTAATTAAGTAACTTAATTAGCTAGCCAGCTAGACAGATTTCCTTGAAATTAAAGCAGCCCCTGAGATCCAAGAAGTTGTATCAATTCTCTTCTGGATCTATTCATTACAGAGAAGGAACTCTGTAACTTGTCTAGGAAAAGCTGATTACTCACCTTGCATTGAGTATTTTCACCTACTGCATTTCACAAAGGAGTCAAAGTACATCAAGTACTTAATATTTTTGGATAGGAACAGTCTTTTATTTCCAACAACATTATGCAATTGAATGGGAAAGGAAATGAGTCTTTGCAACAGCAATTCAACACACCCCAGACTCCACTCAATGGGCTTTGGCTTAGGAAAAGTTCTGCAAGTCAGTGTGGAAGGCAAAGGAAGGCTAGAAATCCAACTGCTCTCTTCATCAGGCAGTACTTTTTTTTTTTTCCCCCTCAGAACTATAGCTGCAATTCTCAAGGGCAGATCTTATGAAGTTATTAAATCCCTTTTTCCCCTCACAGCAAGGCTATAGTAGTTTACATATTCAGAACAAAATTCCCATATGGTCACATTTTTACTGGCATAGACAAAACTATAGGCATAGCTTAACTTTACATAACACAAAGTAAACGCAACATAAATATTTACTGTATGAAAATGTGAGTTCACCTTGTTTTCTTGAACCTTCGTTGGAGTAGTTGTGTTACTCTTATTTTCTCTTTGTTGACGACGTCTAGCTGCCTCTTGTTCCTCCTGAAAAAACATTTGAAAAGACTTTATAACTTGCTGCCACTTTTCTAACACAGAGCCTTATATTCCCCAGCTTATTCTTCTAGGCTGATATCATATAAAGGCTAATTTAAAAAGGAAAGTTATCCTTTTTGTTACCAGCACAGGAAAAAACATTTATCCTGCCCCATGCAACACTGAGTGTGAACAAGAAGATAACTGCAAGTTACCCTGTTGTGCTGCAATAGTTACTATAAAGGACTTCAAACCTGCAGCCTCTAGAGAAAGGAGAACAGGCCACAACCTTTTCCCCTACGTGTCACACTGGTGCTATATATAAAAATGTATTAAAATAGCCCCACAAAAAAGCAAAAAGTTCCTAAATGTCAACAGCTTTACCTATACCTTTAACCTTCTATGTGTTACTATGGCATTACAAAAACCTTGTACGACTTGAAACAGCAAAGTCGCTCCAAAAAACAAATTCACTCTTGGAAGTGAAACTCTTGGAACCTGACTGCAGTGGTGCTTGATGGCTTAGGATGCTTCACTAAGTCCCATGCACATTTTTTTTCCCCTGGCAATTCTGAAGATCTTTAACACAGTTCCCATACTATCACTGCTTCATTATTTTGAGTTTTCTACAGAAAACTGATTGAAACTTACCCTGAGTTTTGGATTTTTGAGACTAGAAAAGTAGTTTTCAAGCTGAAAGGAAAAGATAAGATAGTCATTTTGTAAGTCAGACCAGAAGGCTAAATGAAGAACACAATATTAATTTAAAACAAATGCAGAACTGCAGAAATTCTGACCATTTTTTTCCTTCTGATAAGCCCCTAAAAGAAGCCATTTCCATACATTCTTTTTAAAGTCACAGGCTCTAATGCATAGCAGGACATAATCCAAGCCTCAACAAGGCTTATCATCTTCAGTACAGCCTAGCCTTGCTTTAAAGCTTTGTGTAATGTATCTCCACTCAACAGAAGTTATTTTCAGAGAGGATAATTTATTCCTACACGCCACTAAAATATTTGTCTGCACTCTAGCATGTTCTTTAACAGCAACAGCATTAGACTAAAGCAGACTTAGAAAAGTAGTCTTAGCATCGTATCACCATAATATAGAATAAATCGGATATTGTGGAAATAAAGTGTTTCCACATAAAAGTTTACTTTAAAAAAAGAAAAAAAAAATACAGTGAGCAGCATCGTTATTAAGCTTTGCAACTGCAATTTCAGCTGAGAACTGCTGCTTGCATATCATGAAATGGAAGTGCTCCATACACCGCAAGGCAGATTGAAGAATTAAAACCACAGCATCTTCACTCAGTGTAAAAAGGAAGAGTACTATAAACAGTTTTTATACTGGAACACGCAAAGAGGAATTATATTCATAAATCTATGCATCTTCAACTAATTTGCAGAGTACCATAGCACTGTGCATAATTAATCTGTTTGTGCAACATGCTGCTCTGAAGTCGCTAAGGGCAAAACCACACGGCGGTTTTTGCATGTTTAGTTAGAGCAGTAACTGGGGGAATTGTCCACTGGCACCCGCTCCAGCAAGACGCATTAGGCTCTGTAAATGTGCAAGAATTATATAAAAACAACCCTCAAGAATAAGTTTGCATCCAAAAGTAGGCAAACAAACGGAGAAGTGTGGGGTACTCACTATGGTTCGGTCAATAGTATGCAGGTAGTAAGAAACTGGTTTCCCGGTCCACGACACAGACCCTTTCAGTGGTGACAGCTCCACAACTCTCATTATAGTGCCAATATCTAAAGGGAGAAAGTCGAGTTAGGGAATTAAGGCTCACACCAGTTTTCTGCTCAGAACTACTGAGTTGAATCCAGCTGTGCGGGTTCCCAACCGAAGAATAAACATTGCCTACGGATAGCAGTGCCCTGGAAGAAAGCACAGGCAGCACTGCTTATTCCCTTGCCACAAACACCATGCAGAAAACTTGGGAAATGCATGTTGAGGATCTACATTTTATGAGTTAGGGAAAACTTTCAATAGAGCAAAACTTTCCTATGACTCAGAAATAACTCGCACAGGGGATCCAGTGACAGCAAATCCGCAGTGATGGGCAGGACTCAATCAGCTCGGACCAGCTGCAGATTATGGACAGATCCAACCCACGTGAACTATAACTGCCCTATATTTGGATGGAGGATATTTATTATTATTTGTTTTCTTGTCTGTATTTGTTTTGTTCCCCAGAGCTGATGGATATAGGATGTGTCCAAATATTTAACCATAACCACTCAACTCTAAGTAAGTGGAGTGACTGCAGCGGAAATATCATGGCACATTTCTAATTAAAGAGAAAAATACCCAGAAGAGTCAGAAAAGAAAGTTTAGGATTCAACAACAGCAATCATCATTTTGCCCATGTTCTAATATTGTTTTTAGTCTGTCCCAACTTTTCCCACATTTCTTTTTCCAGAAGGAATTACTAAGGACAAAAAAGACACCGAGGAAAAAAAAATACCACATTCTTAAAGTTTTATTCTATTCCATTTTTTTCCATTACTTTACTGTTCAAATTTTATATCAGAACAATTAACAGGCATCAGGCCACGTCAGCCAAGTCACACTTGGGTGCCCAAAGGGAAAGAAAAGGGTTGAATAAAGGTGTTAAAAAGCCCTGGCAAAGCAGCAGCATAATGTTAGCCCAGCAAAGTGAACAAATCACCCTCCCTGGACGTCCAGGATATGCCACGTTAAATGCCATGTGCTCTAAGCGGATGGCACTTCCTTAAAAGTGTCATTTAGAACAAATTATTAAGCTTGAAGCAAGTCCCAGGCTCAAATATCACATGAACATTTACTTGATATTAGTATTGCCCATGTAGAGAACGGTGGCAGACTGAGATTAAAACCTAAAACTGAATTTCCACAATTCCTCCACATTTCTAGCAGTATACAAAGGTAATTTCTCTTGAAGACCTCTTACTGGAATTACTGTTATCTATTAGGGGATGCTATTATCTATTCTTTTGCCAAGCAAAAATTAAGGCCAAAGTTTAATTAGGTATCTCTATATAATTTTAATGTCAACATTCAAGAATTATCAAGTGGCACTCTAGAAAATTATTCTCACTGAAATACTAGGGTGAAGGCTGAAAAACAATGAAGAAACAGCCCAAACAAATTGTT